AAAAAAAAGTAAAATTTAGGTGTTAATATGTAAATACATAGTGGGTGGTATGTATTATAAATGCCCCAAAAAAACAATTTTTTATGATGATAAATATAAATATTTGCATTCAGCACAATGCATACTGAGCAATAATTGAGATTGCAGCTGATGGAGAAGAAAGACATGCTAACTTTTCCACTTCAACTGATCGCTTGTCATCACCCTTAAATGAATGGAGCCAAATGAAGGCTCCTGGTACCCACTCCACTCAGAGTTTGCAATATTTGAATAGCCATGAAAGCATAATGAGCAATAATTGAGATTGCAGCTGTGAAGAAGAAAGACAAGCTAACTTTTCCACTTAAATTGTTAGCTTGTCATCACCCTTAGGAGAATGGAGCCAAGTGAAGCCTCCAGGTACCCACTCCATTCAAACTTTGCAATATTTGAATAACAATGAAGAAAGTACATTGTTTCAAACATTGCCAAAGAACTTTTTTGGCTTTCCACATCCGAACTTATGTACAAAGCCACCACCTTTTGTCAATTTTCAAAGAATGAAACAAGAAAACCCTCTAAAGAAAAACCCAAATTTCTTAAATATTTTACTTGCAAACAAAAAATAAAGAAAAAAAGGGTTAAAAACAGAGTATTAGTAATTAGTGAACTTGCATGTGAGAATCAGGAGAATATAGAGAGCTCTAGTTGCCATAAGTTGCAGAATATGAAGCAGCAAAAAACCAATTAGAGATATAATATGAAGAAGCATGTGCTGGTCAAGTAAGGAAAGCTATGAAAACGATTTAATATTTTTTCTATGTGACAGCAGAAAATTCGAGGACTTTCTTCACTCGAAAAGGCTGAAATGGCTGAAGTAAGATTAAGTGAACAAATGGCGCACTTATTCACTTAAATAAGCTCCTTCTTCTTCAATCAGAGCTAGAAATGATGAAAACTAAGTTTGTTACAGCAAATAAGTAAATTTTTGATGTCACCTCGGAACTAAAAAACCCTAACCTAGAAAAGGAACCTGCTTCCAAAACCAAGTTCACTTAAATACGAGATCTCTCTGCCGAAAAAGTCAAACATGTCAAAATTCAACAAAAATCTAGCAACAATCAACGGACCTGGAAAGACCTTAGGTTTTATTTTTTTTTTTTTCTTCTTCTTTTTTTTCCAAAGACCGACTAAGCCCTAGTAACACAAAACTCAAAAAAGTTAACTAAAAAAAAAACAGGGAGGAGTGGAGTTGGGAAGAAAGAGAAGAACCCCACCTATCCCTTGCGTCGAGCTCCAAAACATTCTCCCCGAAAGAAACCTCCAAGCCGGCGTCAGCCTCTGGCGAGGAAGCCGCCGGAGCAAGAATCTTAGACCCCTGCAAATCCTTCGTCTTTACGGCGTAGGTAGGCTTCTCCAGGCGGCGACTGCGGAGCTGAAGGTAGCAGGAGGAAGAAGACGAATTATCAGCCTCAGGGGAGAAAGATGACTTCTGAAGTCGCTGAAGTGCGAGAGTTCTGGCTCTTGTCCGTACGCCTATGGAAGACTGAGCTGAGATCTCCATCACCGCCACCTCACCGTTGAGCTTAGCTTTCCTCATGTACTTACCCATTGTTCCTGCACCCTTAACTCATGCAAGCTTGGAAAAAGCTTCAGCAGAAAGGAGAGAGGAGATAGTCGGAAAAGGAAGCAACTTTTTTTCCGGCGGCGAAGAGGGAAGGGGAAACACACGAGCTGGAAGCAGAGAGAGGATGCGAGAGGAGAGTAGGAGTGATGTAGATTGGAAAGAGTTGAAGCACAACAACAGGGGAGAGGTCTGTAATGTATACCAGAGTATTCCTTGGACATGTACTCCCAAAATAAAATTATAGAAAAAACACTTTTTTACATCAATATTATTGTACGATTTATTATTATAAAATTAATATCTTTTTTTCATTTATTTTAAATTCTTATTTAAATATCAAAGCTCAAATTAGAGCTGTAACTCCTATTTTCCATTTTTATTAAATTTTTAATAATTTCACGCAATAATAATTTAATAAATAAAAAAGATTGCTTGATGCTAATTTTAAAAATTACAATATTTTGAATGCTATATATATATATATATATTTATAAATTGTTTTTTTTATAAATAATGTAATTAAATAAAATAAGAAGAATATCATGTATTTTTATTTAAATTTTTAATATTTATTTATTTATTTTTTTAAATTATTTTGACATGGGGGTGGGAGATAATTCAATGCATCATGCCTTGAGGTGAACTGGAGAATTGATAGGAATGGATCTAAAAAAATAGGATAACAAGGTTGGCATGTAATATGTCTATATTATTTGATATTTATGATACATTATTTTATGCAATATATATTAACAAAATATATAAATAATATTTTTCATTGCATGTTGTAAGAGTTTAAGGAGCTTTTATATTTCATTTGATAAAATTTATTTTATAATATAATAAAATATTTTTTTTAGATATTATCTATTGCTTAAAATTTGTAATTGTTTTTTTTTCTTTTTTTTATACATCAATGTATAATTTTTTAATTTAGTAATACTTAAAAAATAGTGCTTTTACAAGGGATAAATTTAATATGAATAGCTTGTATATACATAATTAATTTATGTTTTATACAAAATTTTGGCTATATATGACTCATAATACATCTAATTGGCTAAATATATTTGTTTAGAGAAATATGCTCAAAGTTCATTATTAATCAATTTACCCTTATGATATTAAATTAGTAGCCATATAACCTTCCACAATCACAGCCCATACATTCCATGTTCCAACCAACTTTTATTTAAGATTAGTGATATTATAATTCTTATTAATTTAATTTTAGTGCTTCATCATTGCCAAATGTAGGTTATGATAAGAGAGAGAGAGAGAGAGTAGAGGAGAATCCTAGGTTTAATAGAATACAACTTATAATAGAGGTTTTGAACATTATTTTAACTTCTCTAGTACATCAAATCCTATTAATATTATGCATCATGTGAGATGCTACAATTTTGAATCTTATTTCTCAAACTTATTTGTTCTATTCTCATCATGTTTAAATTTTGATAGGATGAAATTCAAAGTTCTATGAACCATATTTGCGAGAGATTTTAATATGATTTGAACAATGTTTGAATATACTTTGAATAATTTTAAAAACAACTAGAGCAAGCTTTGGAGCAAAATTTGAGGAAGTTTTGAACATAGATTAAGTTTGGTTTGAAATTTCATACTTAATTCAGACATTGTTTAAACACAAATTGAATCATTTTATTGTCTTCGTTATCTTGATAGATTTGAATTATTTAGGAGGCTTGTTTTGTATACATATTTCAGTTCTAATTAGGGTTGTCAAAAAAAGCTTGTTGCTTGTGAACAACTCGTGTTTGACTCGTTAAGTTGCAAATAATATATTAAATAATGCTTGACTATAAGGTTCTTGCATGTATGCACAAAGATTTCTACGAGGAAACTACTAACTTCTTAAAATTATATTTAGCACTAAGAAGTGGGCTTAGTTGAGTATATGTAACTTATGCTTTGGTTTATTTATTATAAAGATTTTTTCTCGCATAATTTCATATTTCCGTTCAAGTTCAATATGAATAGAGTTTTTTGTCTTCGAATTCCTTTTTAGTTTATTCTAATTCATGCAAAAATATGTTATATTCTTTTCTAGACTTGTAAATTGACCCAATTTTGCATGAGCAAACACAAGTGCATGTGTCATTTAAGTAATAAAGTAGAATTGAGTCTAAGATCATTCCCATGAGGATAAATGATGAGTTTCTAAAATTTAGGTTAAGTATCAGTTCAACATGATGTCGAGGTGTTGGGCTTGTGGTTGCAACACTCCAGTGACTTCTACTAAATCCTACTGAATTTATCCTTAAGGGTTTTCCGACACAAAAATAGAAATAATTATGCAATATATGTAAGGAAAGATGTAAGAAAGAAAAATATTCAGACATTTTTTAGTTTTTTTTTTTTTTAGTTGAAGATGTAAGAAAGAAAAATATTCAGACATTTTTTTGTTTTTTTTTTGTTTTTTTTTTTGCTCAACATAGAATTTTTTATATTAGAATATTTTTCTTAAAACGATTTGAAGATATTGATGTTTCACTTTAAATTTAATTTACCAATACCTTTATTTTTTCATCAAACCTCCTCATTTTATTTATAAGAATGGATTTAATCTTTGTTACAATCAAAACAACATTCTCATTGCTAGAGTTATAGATCCCACTATCTTCTAATTAATTAGAAGCTTTTAAGGTAATTTATTTCTTCTTATTTTATTCCAATAGTATCTATAGCTCTCTAGTTGAGGCTAGAGTTATAGATCCCACTATCTTCTAATTAATTTGAAGCTTTTAAGGTAATTTATTTCTTCTTCTTTCATTCCAATAGTATCTATAGCTCTCTAGTTGATATTCTATTTGTATACTATAATAGATAAAGAGATAATCTTTTAGCTTAGATAAAACAATAAAATTTAATTATATCCCAAGGTTTAGGAAAACATATAAAACATTTATTTACCCATTCAACTATATAAGATTCTTTGAAAATGCATACAAAAAAGTGATAAGTTTAGTAAATATGTACAATTTAGCAATAATTTCATTTAGTTTCATACAAAGAATATTAATATTGGATTAATATACCTTATTTGTATCCTTATTTGTGATCCAAAGATTTTTTTCCTTCAATTTTAAATGTAGAAATATTCATATAATCATTAAATTTCAAAACATAAAAAACTTATTTCAAGAAATTAGAGTTTAGTTTTACTAATTTATTTTCCTTTTATCCCCATTTATAAAAGGGAATGTTCACATATTTTTCATTATCAACTTTGTAGGGAGGTGTGTATCTTGGATTAGATTTCACAAGCAAAATCGATGGATTACATAAATGTGGCCATTCGAACTCTCTAAAAGCCATAATAAAAGTTATCAAATAGCAATGTTAGGATGATAAAATATCTTTAATGGTGCATTTATTATTTGATTGTGTCATTTACATCTACATTAAGTGGTTAAATTTTAAAATAAAGAACTTTGTAACTCAAAGCTCTTAATACAACCATATTTTTAACCTTGAGTATTATGAGATTGATAGAAATTAAAATGAGCTTCTCTCGTAAAGATCTTCCCTTATAAACTTTCTAGCTCTCTCGAGTTTCACAAATTTAAGATTTGAAGTGACATAATATAAACTAGGTGCATTAAATAAAATAATTTAAAATAAACTAAAAAAATATTAAAATATTATACCATATGATCTAGATTGCATAATTCAATCCATTATAACTGATTCAAATCTATTAGCCTTTGATTTTAAGATCTTAATCATATTAATTAAAAATTTTGGCATGCATTATAATTTACATCACATAATATAATTTATTCAAAATTTTAATTAATCTAGTTAAGTATATTATTAAAGTGGTTTAGCTATTTAAATTAAATTTGATCATATAACTACTATCATACATTTATTTTTAATTTTAAAAACTTTCTTAATTATAGTAGGTTTATTTATTTTTTAAAATTTGCCTTAAAATACATTGTACAACATGATATGTTTATACAATACAATCTATTATAACTAGTTAGGATTAATTATATTTTAATTTTTTGTGTAAAACTTCATGTGTGTGTGCTAGATGGCTTAGCAAGCACCATAAATAAAAACATCAAAATAAGATTAAGAAAATCAAAATGCATTTTAGATGGTTGCAAGTTTAAAGTTCTTTTTTTTATTACAATACACC